TAGTTGATACACCATTTGCTGAAACTAGCACAGCTTCTTAGTTGATACACCATTTGCTGAAAGTAGTACTGACTCTCCTATCAACTTAGTCAGTTTCCCTGAGTCATCCTATTTTAGTGTCTCAATGTTAGTAGTACTTACTTTCCTATCAACTTAGTCAGTTTCCCTGAGTCATCCTATTTTAGTGTCTCAATGTTCTCACCTTCCTTGGGTCACTCTTGTCTTAGTGTCTCATCTGTGTCTCTTTGTGTAGATTTTTTTTACGAGAGATAAAAAGTGAAATTTGAAACTCTAGGAGTTCAAACAGAAATAAGAGTGTGTTTGTATAAATATATATGATTAATAAATTAAAGATTAACATCTTAAAAAAAAAAAGGTAAACTCTGTAGTTTTCCACCTGTATGGTAACTCATTGCAGACTCCTCTTCCAATAGGATGGGTGTTCAGATGGCATCGTGGCAAGGAATCCCGGGACAGCCACAAATGGCTGCTGCAGCTGCGGCTCAGAGCCCAATTGGACAACAACCTGGAGTGATAGGTGCCTATCCTTTGCAGCAGTACCAGGCGCAGTAAGCACCATGGCATCACCTTTCTTACAACCCTTTCACCTCCAATCAGATGACTTTTTGGGATATATTTTGCAATCTTCTCCTCTACTAGTACCTGGCTGGCTCTTCTTGCTGACCACTGGTCAGTTGAATACCAGCCAGGTTTGTCTGGCAGAGGTGCTTGGTTGATTGGATGACAATTCCCCGTGGCTCGTCTGTACTCCTTGTCCTTGGAAGAAGAATAACTGGAGAGAAGCTGTGGTGTTACATTGGATCTAAATAATTGGCATTTGGCTGAAAACTGACTTGTTTAGATAGAAATACCTGATTTGTATTTTCTTTTCTTTTTCTTTTTTTTTTTTTTTAAGGCTGCATTTAGGTGGTGTAGAATAGGTAGAACTTTCCAGCCCAAAGCCTTCCAGTCACCATGTCATCTCTCCTTAAGTAAAAGAGTTATCCTGTAACATTAGTTTGAGTAAATGATGGGGTACATTACATATAAATAAATATATATATATATATATATAAGATAATTTCAGAGGTGTGGAGTTTCAAATATAAGATGTATCTGTAAATAGTATTGGTACTAGTAACAAACGTTGCTTTGCCTTAATTCATTAGCTTGGCCTCTCTGTAGTTCCATATACTTTAAAAGTAGACAACAATAATTCCTAACAATGGTTGCTTGGGTTTTGTTTACCAGTAGATGCAGTTGAGAAATCAGAGTGTAATTCTGTCTTGGAGTTACATGTGTATACTTGCACATTCACACAAGTATACAGATCCCTGATTATTGAAATGTTTGTGTAAAAAAAAACTTTCTCCTCGCTCGAAAGGATCCATAATTATTAATCCCAATTTTTGTTTACGTTATAAACATCTTGTAATTGGATTTAATTCACCCGGGCTTCATCAGTTGAGAGGATTTCACTAATTTCAAGCTTTCCCTTGATAAAAAGTTGACTCGTGTTAATTTTCAACTGATCACTTGATGAGAAACATCTCTATAGGCCACAGAGGTGATAAGACTGAGAGTGTTCATTTAAAACATGTGCAGGTACATTGTTTCTCAAGAGAAATTTTTCAGAGGTAGTGATTTAAGATTTCCAATGAACCAGTAATGACTTCTCCTTTATTTTACTTTTATTTCAAACGTGATGTGTGTAGAATTTTTGTTAGAAATTTTGCAGAATTTATAAATGTTTGAATAACTTGCAGCGCTACCATAAAACAAAAGCCAAAAAAAAAACCAGTCCCTTGCAATGAGAAATATATATATATAAATATTGAATCTGATATATTTGGGAAAATTGGAGGAATAACAAATAATCCAAGATAAAGTCTTAGTTGGATGTGATCTCAAAAATGTGCGATACAACACAAGTTCTGTATTTTTCATAAATATTTAGAATACCATAAAAAAAATGTCCCCTGATTTTCTCCCCCCCCCCCTTTTTTTTTCGTGTGTGTCAGACAAATGGTTAAGAACTGGTTGTTTGCTTCAGCCTCCTTGTGTTTCGCTGGAATAAATAATAAAAGTTATTTTTTCATATTGAAGATACTCGTTCTTTGTGGACAAGCAACGTTAGGTGTTTTCCGTTATGGGCTCTTATTGGAAACGTAGTTATCTTTAGCCCACTTTTAACTTAATGGCTCTAAGAAACGTACAAGTGATTTCCTCATTTTTAGTTGTTTTGTTTTTGTTTTTTTCGTTGGAGAGCCTCATCATTCAGTGCAAGAATGAGATAATGCTCGCGACTCGATATCACGTGACGTGTAATATATTTTCCAATTTTTGGGCAGAATCTGCCCGGTTCTCTGTGGAATAGTACGAAGAATAGATACGACGATCATAGTTTAGACTAGCATTAGATATTAGCCGTTAGTGGTAACCTTCTCTTCTGGTCAGGGATTATTAGTGGTACCCTACTCTTTTGGTCAGGGATTGTTAGTGGTACCCTACTCTTTTGGTCAGGGACTGTTAGTGGTACCCTACTCTTCTGGTCAGGGACTGTTAGTGGTACCCTACTCTTCTGGTCAGGGACTGTTAGTGGTACCCTACTCTTCTGGTCAGGGACTGTTAGTGGCACCCTACTCTTCTGGTCAGGGACTGTTAGTGGTACCCTACTCTTTTGGTCAGGGACTGTTAGTGGTACCCTACTCTTTTGGTCAGATATTGTTAGTGGTACCCTGCTCTTCTGGTCAGGGATTGTCACCGATCTGTACAGAATTTGTGTGTCGACGTAACTTGACAAACAATAATTAGTAGACGCCATATGTACTCGCCCTGTTGACTTACCCGTGTCTGTGTGTTACATTTGTGTTACTAACTCTGTTGTGCAATGTATATATATATAATATATATACTTAAGGTAAAAATATAAGGTAGATAGAACCCGAATAGCATCATAATGTAGAAGTTGGAATAAGACATAAACTGACCTATTTAATATTTAATGTGCGTGCGTGTGTGTGTGTGTGTGTGTGCTACTTAGATGTCTATACTCGAAAATATTAACCATTGAAGAGTTTTCAAATAGTTTTATAAATAAATACAGTTTGATTATTGACGGTTTGGGGAAACGAAAGAAAAAAATACTGATTCTCTGCTAATTTTGTACTGTTCTTATCCACGCGCGAAGCAAGCCTTCCACAAGGTGTAAACACTCCTCCAGAAGAACGGGGGGGAGTGGGCAATTTTGTTTTTTAACCAGTGATTTTGATAATAATAAAAAAAAAACACGATTATCACGGCTCAATCAATTTCTGTATCTTTAGTGTTTTTATTATGTACAAGCTATTGTCAGTGTCGATGTAAACCCATTTTTCTCTCTGATTCAGTGCAAAGCAGAGATGTCTGAAAGACGTCTCTCATTATCCGAAGTGTTGTTTGTGACCGACTGCTCGAACCATGAAAATTTGTAAAGTGTTATTAGAAGTACAGAGTGGCGAGTAGTGTATTAATAAGTGCACGTGAAACACGGGTCATAGCAATCTGTTGTTTCCTTTAGCATATAGAATCTTAAGAATAAAACTCATCAGAATGAAGATCATCATCACGAAGATGAGGTAGTAAAAGTACTATTTGTGTGATAAATTGTTGAAATTCTTAAGTATTGATAAATGACTGAAAGTACCTACTTACTAGTGTATGTGTAGATTGTTACGTTTGTGAAATCTTATCGAAAAATTGTGTTGTAAACACCCTCTTCTCCCCCCTCCCAAAAAAAATGAAGAATGTAGGCACGTAGAGAAAAACATGGAAATAAACAGGTGATACATTTTTTATAAAGTTGTTAGTTTTATTTGTTTACTGACCACGTGATTTTTAGATAACCAATGTTAACGTAAATCGTAGTACACCACACGAGGCTGTCTTTCTGTGCGGTTTTTACACTACTGGACACATCACTCGCTCTATGTGCAACTTTATAAAATGATCATTTATAGTTGGTACTTTCGGTGCAAAACGCATCTTGTGTAAGACAAGGCTTAACGGCTAGACCTGTCAAAGTCAACCATTCAATACAACACACTCCCCCGCGTATGCGACCACTCTTAATCGAAGAGGGAGTACAATGTCACAGTTATAATATCCACGGGTGAAACCGTGGAGCGTGATCAGTGGCGTATCGCGGCTCGAACCTTGGATCTTGCTATGTGCAGACTGGAACGCTACCAATAGGCCACGTTCGAGCCGTTTTCATTTTTGGAAGGATTGAGATTGAACGTATAGAAAGCCATTTGCATGGATCACTTGGACCTCATGGATACCAGTTTTTTTATGTGACACGTAAATACGGATTTTTGTGAAAAGCTGATCCACTGGTTCTTCTTTGTGGTTATGAACCAGTTAACGAAGAACCTGCACAACGTGAATACGTGGACGTACGCTAAACCCATCCGTTAGTGTTAACAACGAAAGATTATACAATTTTTTCAGGATGTCCTTCTAAGCCTTTATTTTGATCTCGATCAGGTTACGATCACAGCCCACGTACAACAGAGTTCACGTTTGGTGTAGATACTAACTAACTTCACTCTACTAATAAATTCATTTTCTGTAGAAAAACATTTCTTTCAAAAGGCATCCCTAACGTACACTTTTAAACCGTATACATACATACATACATAATTACATATGGATGGACGTCACGATTTATGGTAATGATACAACGATGAAGGCCTGTTTGAGCAACCCAATGATACACGAGGCCTTGTGAGTTGCCTATCTGGTACATCATAAATTCCCGTTTGTACTCGCATCAGTCCATCTTGTGGAGGAACTGGTAAGGTGATTGGTTTGCCACATTATTGGCAACCCATCGGTACAAAGATGGTAGCTCTTCTCGTGACGTCAGCACATTATAGTTCACCTTGGCGGTTATCTGGAGTCTCTGGATGTATAACTGACCATTAGAACTGTAACCCGCAACCAACGTAAATCCCTTGGTAAAACTTTCGCAATTAGCTTTGCCGGTTTCGTCTCGTAATTGATTGATCACCGATAGGACGACGAAGGCCTGGTAGTTAAGATGCTCGCCTAGTAACCTGAGGGTCGTGGGTTCGAATCTCCGTTATCGAACGTGCTCGCCCTTTCAACCGTGGGGGCGTTGTAACGTAACGGCCTATCCCACTATTCGTTGGTAAAAGAGTTGGCGGGGGGTGGTGTCGACTAGCTGCTTATCCTTTTATCTATCAATGCTAAATTAGGGACGGCTAGCGCAAATAGCCCTCGTGTAGCTTTGCGCGAAATTCAAACCAAACCGATAATACGGTGCTAACTTTTGCAGGCTGTTAAGTAAACTTATTCTTCCAATGTTGCGACATAACTTCTGCTTTTACATCTTTCAACAGCTGTTCGTTTTTTGTACACTGGGGAAGCCTGATAACACATCTCATTCATCGGCTAAATCCGCATGAATTAAGTAGTTTATAATTCCCAGAGAGTTTTGTACATTAGCAGTTACTTCCCATGTTGATTAACTTCCTCTATTCTCTTCTCTTTAGTTCAAAATTAGAGACGGCTAGTGCAGATAGCTCGTGTAGTCTTGTGCGAAAATCCAAAAACAGAAACAAGCACAACTCAATGGCAAGCTATTGAAATTTCTTCCCCATACGTTGTGTGCGACTGTTAGCCGGTTGTGGAGTAGCCTACTTTTACCCATACTTTTGTTGAAATGCAAACATTTCTTGTATTGAATGCCTTTATTACCACGGAATGAAAAATTCTGCGTCTGAAAGTGCGGAAATGTGGCTCCCTCTGCATGTGCAAATCACCACACTTCAATTGACTTGCAACAAGAAGATCAGGGCTTTGAACGTGTGTGATCATAGGTCACAGACATGGCCAGGAGTTAGGTGATTGGATATGCAAATCGTGAACAACCCTC